GAGAACTCAAGGTACTGTTGTATGTTGTATTATACCAGTGTCTGTGTATATAATGTTAAGTGTTTGTACTGATAGTATTAAGGGAGAACTCAAGGTACTGTTGTATGTTGTATTATACCAGTGTCTGTGTATATAATGTTAAGTGTTTGTACTGATAGTATTAAGGGAGAACTCAAGGTACTGTTGTATGTTGTATTATACCAGTGTCTGTGTATATAATGTTAAGTGTGTGTACTGATAGTATTAAGGGAGAACTCAAGGTACTGTTGTATGTTGTATTATACCAGTGTCTGTGTATATAATGTTAAGTGTGTGTACTGATAGTATTAAGGGAGAACTCAAGGTACTGTTGTATGTTGTATTATACCAGTGTCTGTGTATATAATGTTAAGTGTGTAATGATAGTATTAAGGGAGAACTCAAGGTACTGTTGTATGTTGTATTATACCAGTGTCTGTGTATATAATGTTAACTGTGATAGTATTAAGGGAGAACTAGTATTAAGGGAGAACTCAAGGTACTGTTGTATGTTGTATTATACCAGTGTCTGTGTATATAATGTTCAGTGTGTACTGATAGTATTAAGGGAGAACTCAAGGTACTGTTGTATGTTGTATTATACCAGTGTCTGTGTATATAATGTTAAGTGTGTAATGATAGTATTAAGGGAGAACTCAAGGTACTGTTGTATGTTGTATTTCCCAGTGTCTGTGTATATAATGTTAAGTGTGTAATGATAGTATTAAGGGAGAACTCAAGGTACTGTTGTATGTTGTATTATACCAGTGTCTGTGTATATAATGTTCACTGTGTAATGATAGTATTAAGGGAGAACTCAAGGTACTGTTGTATGTTGTATTATACCAGTGTCTGTGTATATAATGTTCAGTGTGTACTGATAGTATTAAGGGAGAACTCAAGGTACTGTTGTATGTTGTATTATACCAGTGTCTGTGTATATAATGTTAAGTGTGTAATGATAGTATTAAGGGAGAACTCAAGGTACTGTTGTATGTTGTATTTCCCAGTGTCTGTGTATATAATGTTAAGTGTGTAATGATAGTATTAAGGTCAGTTATTTTGTATGGAGAAGAAGAGACCTTCATTTATGGGAGAAGGTCAGTTATGTTTGTGTGGTGCTGGGACCTTAATTGCTTGGGGAAGGTCAACTATTTTTGTATTGTCACAGAGGGCAGTATTTTTATTATGTCTAAAATAATGAGTTAAAACTACTGGTTGGTGTTTCACCCTTCCTTCCACCCTCAACTTTGATTAATGAAAAACACAAACTCACACTACTAGACTAAACTCACACTACTAGACTAAACTCACACTGCTAGACTAAACTCACACTGCTAGACTATTCTCACACTGCTAAACTGAACTCACACTGCTAGACTATACTCACACTGCTAGACTAAACTCACACTGCTATACTAAACTCACACTGCTAGACTATTCTCACACTGCTAAACTGAACTCACACTGCTAGACTATACTCACACTGCTAGACTAAACTCACACTGCTATACTAAACTCATACTGCTAGACTAAAGGCACACTGCTAGACTAAACTCACACTGCTAGACTAAACTCACACTGCTAGAATAAACTCACACTGCTAGACTAAGCTCACACTGCTATACTAAGCTCACACTGCTAAGCTAAGCCTCACACTGCTAGACTAAGCTCACACTGCTTGGAGCTAAGCTCACACTACTGGAGCTAAGCTCACACTGCTGGAGCTAAGCTCATACTGCTAGACTAAACTCACACACTGCTAGACTATTCTCACACTGCTAGACTATTCTCACACTGCTAAGCCTTCGAACTCACACTGCTAGACTATACTCACACTGCTAGACTAAACTCACACTGCTATACTAAACTCACACTGCTAGACTAAGCTCACACTGCTAGACTAAACTCACACTGCTAGACTAAACTCACACTGTTAGACTAAACTCACACTGTTAGACTAAGCTCACACTGCTAAACTAAACTCACACTGTTAGACTAAACTCACACTGTTAGACTAAGCTCACACTGCTAGATTAAACTCACACTGCTAGAATAAACTCACACTGTATGAGTAAATTCACACTGTTAGACTAAACTCACACTGTTAGACTAAACACACTGTTAGACTAAACTCACACTGCTAGACTAAACTCACACTGCTTGAGCTAAAGGCACACTGCTAGACTAAACTCACACTGCTAGACTAAACTCACACTGCTAGACTTCTTTGTCAGCTCCCCAAAGAACAACTACACATACTGTCCTGTGGTCTGGTGGCAGCGACCCTAAGTTAAGAAGTAAACCCTAGAATTAAGTGACCAATTAAAGGGCAGTATAACTGTATACACTTGGCCATGATGTTCCCCAAACATAAATATCTTACAGAATGAGATATAAGTATTTAAACTATTGCTGAATACTTTATTACAACCCCAATATTGTAGAACATGTGTTCAACAGGACATGATAGTGAGAGGTATTCAAACACCCTTCTTAGGTGTGTCTCAGGCCAACAGGACATGATAGTGAGAGGTATTCAAACACTCTTCTCAGGTGTGTCTCAGACCAACAGGACATGATAGTGAGAGGTATTCAAACACTCTTCTCAGGTGTGTCTCAGGCCAACAGGACATGATAGTGAGAGGTATTCAAACACTCTTCTCAGGTGTGTCTCAGGCCAACAGGACATGATAGTGAGAGGTATTCAAACACTCTTCTCAGGTGTGTCTGAGGCCAACAGGACATGATAGTGAGAGGTACTCAAACCCTTCTCAGGTGTGTCTCAGGCCAACAGGACATGATAGTGAGAAGTACTCAAACACTCTTCTCTTGTGTGTCTCAGGCCAACAGGACATGATAGTGAAAGGTACTCAAACACCCTTCTCAGGTGTGTCTCAGGCCAACAGGACATGATAGTGAGAGGTACTCAAAACACCCTTCTCAGCTGTGTCTCAGGCCAACAGGACATGATAGTGAGAGGTACTCAAATACCCTTGTGAGGTGTGTCTCAGACCAACAGGACATGATAGTGAGAGGTACTCAAACACCCTTCTCAGGTGGGTCTCAGGCCAACAGGACATGATAGTGAGAGGTATTCAAACACTCTTCTCAGGTGTGTCTCAGGCCAACAGGACATGATAGTGAGAGGTACTCAAACACCCTTCTGAGGTGTGTCTCAGACCAACAGGACATGATAGTGAGAGGTACTCAAACACCCTTCTCAGGTGTGTCTCAGGCCAACAGGACATGATAGTGAGAGGTACTCAAACACCCTTCTCAGGTGTGTCTCAGGCCAACAGGACATGATAGTGAGAAGTACTCAAACACCCTTCTCAGGTGTGTCTCAGGCCAACAGGACATGATAGTGAGAGGTACTCAAACACCCTTCTCAGGTGTGTCTCAGGCCAACAGGACATGATAGTGAGAGGTACTCAAACACCCTTCTCAGGTGTGTCTCAGGCCAACAGGACATGATAGTGAGAGGTACTCAAACACCCTTCTCAGGTGTGTCTCAGGCCAACAGGACATGATAGTGAGACGTACTCCTTCTTAGGTGTGTCTCAGGCCAACAGGACATGATAGTGAGAGGTATTCAAACACTCTTCTCAGGTGTGTCTCAGACCAACAGGACATGATACTGAGAGGTATTCAAACACTCTTCTTAGGTGTGTTTCAGGCCAACAAGACATGATAGTGAGAGGTACTCAAACGCCCTTCTTAGGTGTGTCTCAGGCCAACAGGACATGATAGTGAGAGGTATTCAAACACTCTTCTCAGGTGTGTCTCAGACCAACAGGACATGATACTGAGAGGTATTCAAACACTCTTCTTAGGTGTGTTTCAGGCCAACAAGACATGATAGTGAGAGGTACTCAAACGCCCTTCTTAGGTGTGTCTCAGGCCAACAGGACATGATAGTGAGAGGTATTCAAATGCCTTTTTTCAAGATGTCTCAGGCCAACAGGACATGATAGTGAGAGGTAGTCAAACACCCTTCTCAGGTGTGTCTCAGGCCAACAGGACATGATAGTGAGAGGTACTCAAACACCCTTCTCAGGTGTGTCTCAGGCCAACAGGACATGATAGTGACGGGTAGTCAAACACCCTTTTCAGGTGTGTCTCAGCCAACAGGATATGATGAGTGAGGAGGTGGTCAAACACCACCCTTCTCAGATGTGTCTCAGGCCAACAGGACATGATAGTGAGAGGTGTTCAAACACCCTTCTCAGGTGTGTCTCAGGCCAACAGGACATGATAGTGAGAGGTAGTCAAACACCCTTTTCAGGTGTGTCTCAGGCCAACAGGACATGATAGTGAGAGGTAGTCAAACACCCTTCTCAGGCCAACAGGACATGATAGTGAGAGGTAGTCAAACACCCTTTTCAGGTGTGTCTCAGGCCAACTGGACATGATAGTGAGAGGTACTCAAACACCCTTCTCAGGTGTGTCTCAGGCCAACAGGACATGATAGCGAGAGGTAGTCAAACACCCTTCTCAGGTGTGTCTCAGGCCAACAGGACATGACAGCGAGAGGTAGTCATAATGCAAGATGGACTTAATTGATAATAATATAATTGGTAGTTGATTATTATTTACTTTTTATATTATACTTAGTTATTGTTTAATAATTGTTGCTGAATAATTATGTAGTTTTAGACTAATAGTTACCGTTAATAATATTATTATGAATAGTTAAAATAGCGAGTTTATTATGGTGTTTAAGCTTATATATAGTGATATATATTAATAAAATATTAATAAATCATCTTGAAATAGATAAACAATAAATGTTATTGTTTAAATAGATAAACAATAAATGTTATTGTTTAAATATATTTTAGTGTATTTGTAAATGTTGTCAAGCTATTCGGTTCTCCAGCCATTGACTTAAGTTTAGTTAATATTAATATATATCTATTAGTGGGAGTTTAATCAATAATAAAACATTATGATTAAAGTGTAATTTATTTATATTATGTATCATTTATAAATAAAATACTTTATTATAGTGTTAATAATGAAAACTTGTAGTTACTGAAAGATAAGAGAGAGAATCGGACAAGGTGTAGCGTGTCAACATCAACCAAGGTGGACGTCTTGTTTATTGTTGTTAATTTTGTTAGTAAATGTTAATTTGTGGGCCTTCCTCCCTCCCTCGTGGTAAGTTAACATTATGTATGGCCGTGTTAACTAGACACAGTACAGTAGAACATAAGAATGGAGGAAACTACAGCGGGCCATACTGGGCAGTCCACCCAGCCCCTATTGCTCATATAAACATCCAACCTATGGTTGAAGCTATCCAGCCATCTCTGTGGTTGTCGGTCACACTGGTTGAACTAGGCCCATCTGGGACCAACTAGGCCCATCTGGGACCAACTAGGCCCATCTGGGACCAGCTAGGCCCATCTGGGACCAACTAGGCCCATCTGGGACCAACTAGGCCCATCTGGGACCAACTAGGCCCATCTGGGACCAACTAGGCCCATCTGGGACCAACTAGGCCCATCTGGGACCAACTAGGCCCATCTGGGACCAACAGGGCCCATCTGGGACCAGCTAGACCCATCTGGGACCAACTGGGCCCATCTGGGACCAACTAGGCCCATCTGGGACCAGCTGAGCCCATCTGGGACCCTTTAGACCCATCTGGGACCAACTAGACCCATTTGGGACCAACTAGGCCCATCTGGGACCAACTAGACCCATCTGGGACCAACTAGGCCCATCTGGGACCAGCTAGGCCCATCTGGAACCAGCTGGGCCCATCTGGGACCTTTAAGCCCATCTGGGACCAACATGGCCCATCTGGGACCAACTGGGTCATCTGGGACCCAACTGGGCCCATCTGGGACCAACTGGGCCCATCTGCCAGGACAACTGGGCCCATCTGGGACCAGCTAGGCCCATCTGGGACCAACTAGGCCCATCTGGGACCAACTAGGTCCATCTGGGACCAACTAGGTCCATCTGGAACCAACTAGGCCCATCTGGGACCAACTAGGCCCATCTGGGACCAACTAGGCCCATCTGGGACCAACTAGGCCCATCTGGGACCAACTAGGCCCATCTGGGACCAACTAGGCCCATCTGGGACCAACTAGGCCCATCTGGGACCAACTAGGTCCATCTGGGACCAACTAGGTCCATCTGGGCCCAACTAGGCCCATCTGGGCCCAACTAGGCCCATCTGGGCCCAACTAGGCCCATCTGGGACTAACTAGGCCCATCTGGGGACCAACCAGGCCCATCTGGGGACCAACTAGGCCCATCTAATCAACTAGGTCCATCTGGGGACTAACTAGTCTATCTGGGGACCAACTAGGCCCATCTGGGGACCAATCTAGGCCCATTCTGGGGGAATCAACTAGGCCCATCTGTGACAACTAGGCCCATCTAGGCCCAATCTAGGCCTATCTGGGACCAAATAGGTATGGTGCAGGTGTGTGGTGTAGGTATATGGTGCAGGTATAGTGTGTGTTTGTGGTGCAGGTATATAGTGTGTTTATGGTGCAGGTGTGTGGTGTAGGTATACGGTGCAGGTATATAGTGTGTTTATGGTGCAGGAGTGTGGTGTAGGTATTAATTAACAGGTAGACGGTGAAGGCAAGTGGACCAATAACTGCTGCTGCTTATTAATGTAAACTACTGGAGGAAATTGTCAATGGAACAATGTTAAGGAAATAGGTTGATAGTTTGAGGTATTTTATTACTTTCCTGTTGAGTATTTGTTACTTTTACATTTGATAAGTTTTGTTACTTGTGGAGTTTGTTACTTTTACGTTTGATAAGTTTTGTTACTTGTGGTGTTTACATCACTTTACGTTTGGGAATTGTTACTTTTCTGTAGTTTATTACTTTTAGGATAATTTTATGATAATTTTGTCAAGTTACTTTTGTTATATTATAGTGGACACTGTTTGTGGTAATGTTAGTAAATGGATGTTTTTTAAATAAACGCTACTTAACATTTGTGGTTATGAAGGACAGACCTAACCAAACAAACCTACCTCACCTAACTTCTCCGGTATATTAAACAGAAAAAACTTACTATACGGTGATATTTGAGACATTTTCTGGACGTGAGATGATACAGCAGCATCGGCACTATGGCGGGTTAGTCCTATATATTAACCAAGGTGGGATTTTGGGTCATATTTATTTTGGGAAAGATTTTTTTATTTAATTGAAGTAAAAAAATTTGGTTATAAGAATGTGGTACTTTTTATTTGTGGTTAAATTACAGTTTGTAGCAAAATACTGTATTAGCTTTTGAGACATTTTGGGAACTTTACTGTATAGTTGCAGTTGATTTTTTGACAAGAAATTTACATTTTTGTCACTGTATTTGGTGGGATCCTAACCTAGCCAAATCGTGTGTCCGATGGTGAGGGTTTAATTCTCGGGGAAAATAAAAATTTCGTGGTATTCAAACCTAACCTAACCAAATCATGTCTTCGATGGTATTTTAATTCTCTGGGAAAGGAAAAATCGCAAGACGCTTCACAATGTCGGCGTTTATAGATTAGTAAACCCTTATGGCAGTGGGATATAGCTTGTGAATTTACCAGGTGTTATCCATTAGTGACTAGTAAGTGGTATTAAGAAAGTTGTTGACCAGAGTTAACTTGTGGTCCTTCTGCAGCTCTTCACAGTCTGCTTGGTTCTTGATTTCCCGAAATAACTTGGCGTCATCGCCAAACATTTGTATGGAGGAGTGTACAACGTCAGGCATGTCATTATGAAACAAACAAACAACAGCGGGCCCAATACACTGCCCTGTGGTACCCCGCTTGTGACGGGTATTGATGACGATTTTGTACCAGTAATTGCCACACACTGCTTGCGGTCATGTACAGGTAGAAAGTCTTCTATCCACGCTAGGACATTTCCTCGAATTCTGTACCCTTCCAGTTTGATTTTCAGTCTTTCCTGGAGTACACTGTCGAAAGCCTTGGCAAAATCTAGGTAAATATTGTCGATATTACCACCTGTTCCAGAATATGGGGCCAAATATCCAATACCTTGAGCAATTGTGTTAAGCAGGAGCGCCCCGGCATAAAACCGTGTTAGCAATCTTTTACAAGGTTGTTTCGTCTCCAACATGTTGGAACAAAAAATTATCTGAGTTTCTACAAAAAGAGTAACAGGGTTATTTTGTTTACAGTTTACTGCTCCAATTGGTTGTTACTGTAGTGTTAAGACAACTACCATATTGCTGCCTCGCTGATCATGGTTAATGAAGTTCCTCGTGTCATTGTCTAGGTAAGATTTTCTAAAGTGTTTCATTATTCTCTTTAAAAAGTTTTATGGAAATTTCTTAATTTAACCATAATATTGTATTTAAATGTTTGAAGATTTAATGAGTTCCTGATTAATATAATACTGTACAGTACTGTATACATATTATATAATATTACTGCCCAGAGTATTTAATTTATTAGCTGTTAAAATGTTATTCATTCTAGGACGGTGACGTGAAGATGTAAGACATGGGCCACAAGACGAAGGTTTGTTTTGGTTAACAGGTCTCTTGCTGCACCACATTGGAAGCTTTCTGCTATAACATAAGGTACAGTACAGTGTATATCTTTGTGGTTTTAGTTTTTATTAAGGATCTGGGATCACCGTTTAAAAATTCAAGTAATTGTGTTAAAGACCTTTGAAATAATTAGATATTTTAAGTACTGTATATTACGCTGTGCCCGTAAGTTTTAAAAGCCTTTATGGATGGTCTTAAATATGTTGACCATCTTTACTGTATGAAGTTAGTTTCACGTCAAAATATTTGTCAAATATGCCTGACCTAATACCTTTGTCTTCAGCACTTGGGGGTAGAAAAATAGTTTAAATATCCTACAAAGGTACAGGGTACTACTTTACCTGATTTTATATCTAGGTTCACAAATTAGTTATTGTGTTAATGACTTTTTGAAACAATTAGATATTTAAAGTAGATTACTTAGGCTTTGCCCGTATATTTTAAAAGGCCTTCATATACGTTTTAAAAATAATATGGACTACAGTGAGTTCTGCTGTAACGCGTATTTTGACAACTCGAATTGGCTCTAACGCGATTTATGAATAGAAGAACCATATTTGTAAAACGCGAACGCTTGTTTGCTGTAACGCGATTTTTGCTTACTATTTCTCCAATTTTGTGGTATTAACTGTGAATATGGTAAAGAAGAATATCTCCAAGAAGCGTTCTGGTGATCGCATTCCCGGTGATGATCGTAAAAGAAAGGCTATCCTTTGTGTTAGGCTAACTACTAAATTTTTTTTTATTTCGAGTAATCTGCACCTAACCCTATTTTCTCCATAAGCCCTGTTATTTCTATTGCGCAAATTTATATAACACGATGTTTAACAAGAACGCAACTAACGCGTTATAGCAGAACTGACTGTATTGGGGTGTCGACTGCATGGAAAAGCCAGGAAACTTTCAAACAAATGGGGTATTTTATTTGGGTTAAGTTATACTGTGGGGTATGAGATGTTTGGTTCACACTCAGGATGGGATGGAGAAAGGAAACTCACGATGTGCTCTCTATATACATGTTGTATTGGATGTAATATGCAGCTTGGTGCTGGGAAGGCAGCATGGTTACAAGCATGATGTAGAGAGAGCTGGTTGGTGAGGACGCTCAGAGAAGGACAGCTTGTGGGTCGCCATGCTCGCCAGCGGGAGAGAGGACCGCCAGGCAGGCGGAGGTTCGAGGGAAGGCCGCCAGGCAGCAGCGGAGGAGGAGGTGTTGCTGGCTGCGGCTGTAGGTAGAGAGAGAGCGATCACCACGAGGTCAGGTCTTAAATAGCGGGTGTAGGCGTGGCTTAGCAGTTGACACCCCCGCTCCGTGGTGTATGGCGGCGCTGGTTGACCTGGACCACGAGGCATACACTGGGGAATTGGTGGGCTCGGCTAGGCCGCGACAAACAGCGTTTGTAGGGGAGAATTCCACTACAATACTCCCCCTTCCCTCCAGGCTGTGTAGGAGACTTGTTGTCTGCAGGGTTGCATAGCACATGCGAGGCAGAACGGGCGGTGCGTGCCTCATGTGAGACAACGGCGATGGCGTGGATGAGCCGGTCGCTGGGGACAACTGTCTAGATACACACTATCTGTGGGAGTAGAGAGGGAGAATAAGGGTGTATGGAGGCGATGAATGTTGTGCTTCCCTCACGGCAGGTACCGAGTCGTCAGATGCGCCTGCTGGGGTGTGTGGGCCTGGGTCAGGAGCAGGGGCTGCGTCAGTAGAAACGGATGAGGGCTCGTGACAGCAGCTGGGTCCACGACAGCAGCAGGGTGCAGGACATTAGCAGGGAGTACCTGGGGGAGAAAAGAGGGGTGTGTGTGTCCGCACTCAGGAACAGAGGCCGCATCAGGGGCGGCAGGGGTTACTGCTGGGCCGGGGTCGGCGTCTGAGGCAGGACAGATGTGCTGGGGTCGGAAGAGGAGCCACTGTCTGCTTAGAGTAGCAGAGCTGCTCTAGGGTGTCTGACCTGCGGTGTAGAGACAGTAGCTGTAGAGCCGATGAGAGCTGCTTCTGGGTGGATAAGCCAGTCTTCCATGTTGCTTGAAGACTAGGAGCGTGATCAGTTTCTCCTCCATCCTGTGTGAGTGCGAATCTCCGGGAGTCACCATTTGTGGGGTATGAGATGTTTGGTTCACACTCAGGATGGGATGGAGAAAGGAAACTCACGATGTGCTCTCTATATACAGTATTACCCCGCTTAACGCGCTTTCACTTAACGCGTTTTCGCATATACACGGTGCCTTGCCAAAGCTGAACTTTCACTTAACGCGGCATTTTTCATCATATACGCGGTGAGTGTCCGGCTCGAGAGCTATTTTTAGATTCGCACCACCCCCCACCCGCCACCCTGCCTGACTGCCTGTTTTAGCTCATAAAATTCATACAAATTACCCAGCCAGAATATAATTTACATTGCTGGAATTCTTATAATTTGGTGATCATTTTGAATATAAACAACATATATTTTGCATTAAACATACAATTTTTAGATAAAAATTTTCTCTAGGTAAGTATGTTATCTTTTGTCCAAAATATATGACATTTATATTCAAAATATTCCTGGTCTTACAAGGAATCCAGCAATGTCAATTATATTATCCTAACTTTAGTTTGAGGTATTATTTATTAAAATTTAGTGGTTATCCCACACATCTCCTTGGGACGGTTGGTGGGGGGTGGGGGGGAGGGAGGGACCAACCGACCGACCATCTGTTACCCAGTGAAGAATTATTTTTTTTTTTATTAACTGAAGATATTTGTTTTAGCTCATAAAATTCATACAAATTACCCGGTCAGAATATAATTTACATTGCTGGAATTCTTATAATTTGGTGATCATTTTGAATATAAACAACATATATTTTGCATTAAACATACAATTTTTAGATAAAAATTGTTCTCTAGGTAATTATGTTATCTTTTGTCCAAAATATATGACATTTATATTCAAAATATTCCTGGTCTTACAAGGAATCCAGCAATGTCAATTATATTATCCTAACTTTAATCTGAGGTATTATTTAATACTAAATGTTAAAAACTCTTGAATGGAGGATTGGTGGGGGTGGGGGGAGGGTTGGGACTGACCACACGGTTGGAAGAGGGGGGGAAGGCAAGGTGGGGTACTTTGATTGACAGATAGTGTCGAAGAATATTTTTTTTTTTTTATTAACTGAAGATATTTGTTTTAGCTCATAAAATTCATACAAATTATCCGGCCAGAATATAATTTACATTGCTGGAATTCTTACAATTTGCTGATCATTTTGAATATAAACATCATAGATTTTGCATTAGACATACAAATTTTAGATGTAAAGTTTATTCTGAGTAAATATGTTATCTTTTGTGAAAAATATATGACATTTGTATTCAAAATATTCCTGGTCTTACAAGGAATCCAGCAATGTCAATTATATTATCCTAACTTTAGTTTGAGGAATTATTTATTACTATACCTGGTTTTCCCCCAAAAATTTCTCAGAGGGAAGAGCCAGCGAGTGTAGTGTGAGAAGAGGGGGAGGGAGTCGAGTCCATTATTTGAATGGACATTAACTTGGCGACTGTATTTCTCTATTTCTCTTAAGTATTAATTGTGTGCATGTGCCATCATAAAATTAAGATGTTATTTTTACTAGAACATAGGTATTGTGTTGGAAAAAGTGGAGTTTGGGGGTCAGCTGGTCTCTATTTCATTTAATCCCATATGTTATGTGACCCATAGCAGCAGTTTTTCATAGCTGGACCCTCTGGGTTTTCAATTGGCTGCCGGTCAAATTAGAGTTCAACTTTAATACATGTTGTATTGGTTATACAATGCAGCTGGTGCTGGGAAGGACAGCATGGTTACTGGCCGTGATGATGTAGAGAGAGCTGGTTGGTGGGAAGCGGCTCAGGAAGAAGGACGGCTTGTGGGTCGCCATGCTCGCTAGCAGAGAGAGAGGACCGCCAGGCAGGGTCAGAGGGGGAAGGCAGGCAGCGGAAACAACATATATTTTGCCTTAAACATACAATTTTTAGATAAAAATTGTTCTCTAGGTAATTATGTTATCTTTTGTCCAAAATATATGACATTTATATTCAAAATATTCCTGGTCTTACAAGGAATCCAGCAATGTCAATTATATTATCCTAACTTTAGTTTGAGGAATTATTTATTACTATACCTGGTTTTCCCCCAAAAATTTCTCAGAGGGAAGAGCCAGTGAGTGTAGTGTGAGAAGAGGGGGAGGGAGTTGAGTCCATTATTTGAATGGACATTAACTTGGCGACTGTATTTCTCTATTTCTCTTAAGTATTAATTGTGTGCATGTACCATCATAAAATTAAGATGTTATTTTTACTACAACATAGTTATTTGTGTCAAAAAGTGGAGTTTGGGGGTCGGGCTGGGTTCTATTGGAATTAATCCCATATGTTCTGTTATTCACTTAACGCGGTTTTCACTTAACGCGGGACCCTCTGGGTTCAATTGACCGCGTTAAGTGGGGTACAACTGTATATATATATATATATATATATATATATATATATATATATATATATATATATATATATATATATATATATATATATATATATATATATATATATATATATATATATATATATACAGTGGGGTATGCTATAACGAATCTAATTGGTTCTAGAACCTTGTTCGTTATAGCATTCGTTCGTTATAGGATTAATCCATTCCAGGCCCCCAAATACAACCACTTAACACTGAAAAATATAATATTAAATTGTAAAAATTGTAAAAAAGTGCATAAATATGCATCTAAACCCCTGAAATAATGAGTATCATTAATACTTGTAATAAAAAAACAATAAATTAGTAAAAAATAAATAAATAAATAAAATAAATAAATAAATAAATAATGTTCGTTGTAGGAGTTTCGTTCGTTATAGCATTCTCAATTTTATAGGTAACACCGTTCGTTATAGGAATATTCGTAGTGGGATCCGTTCGTTATAGCATACCCCACTGTATATATACAGTATATATATCTATATATATATATATATATATATATATATATATATATATATATATATATATATATATATATATATATATATATATATATATATATATATATATATATATATATATATAATTTTTTTTTTCAGTGAAGACGAGCCCGGAAGGGCGAAAAACAACGTCATTTACTAAGTGACTTGAAAGCAGAGGATGTTAGTCACTAACGATCTAGCGACTTCATAATAGAAGACGCGCTGTGATTGCCATGCTGACCAGACCGTATAAGAAATTGTCCCTAACACAATATCTGAGACATAAACAAAATAAAAGTCACTGAATTACTTGACCGTGCTAAGATGTATAAATACCGTATATATAATCCTCGTGGCACTTAGTATTTCAGCTATTACAACACAAATTAGCGGAGCCTTCTTTGTTGCGTATTTACAGCTGATTCACCAGCCAAGAAGATGACGGTAGCAATGCGTGTGATGGAGGGAGCGGGGGGAGGTTTTGAGAATTGCAATTAAATGCCAGGCAGCAACGTGTCCTCCTAATATTATGTATTAACTAATTATTAGATGTTTTAATTGCCTGTATGTTGGCCTGGCTAGTTATTGCTAGGCATTAACATACCTAGGTATAAAGCTAGATGTCGCATTCTGGACTATATCACAAAAACTTTTTTTTTTTTTTTCAGGGATCAGCCCACCCAGGCACAGGTCACCTACCCACATTGGGTTCTGGGGGGCGAAAATGTAATAATAATATTAATAATAATAATTCATAGGTCTTGGTCCATAATAAAGTTCAGTATCACTAATGCTAATAACTTATAAAGTAAGCACTACTATCACTGAAACAACACCTATAAAGGGAACTATAATATCAAAGAAAAGACAAGGTCCTATCCACGATATGGAAAAATTATTGGTGATATGGATAGAAGACCAGATACAGAAGCGTGTACCCTTAAGCATTCTAACCATACAGGCTAAAGCAAGAAGCCTGTTCCAAAGCCTGAAGGAGCAGGCAGGAGATGAATGTGATCAAACCTTTACAGGAAGTCGTGGGTGGTTTGATAGATTTAAAAAACGCTGCAGTCTACACAATGTTAAGGTGAGTGGAGAGGCAGCTGGTGCCGATGTTGTTGCTGCCGAAGCTTTTAAGGAGGAGTTAGATGATGTGATTGTGGAAGGGAATTATTTGCCTGAGCAAACATTCAATGTGGATGAGACTGGATTATTGTGGAAACGCATGCCTGAGCGGACATACATCCACAAAGAGGCAAAAACAATGCCCGGATTCAAGGCATTCAAGGACAGAATTACATTTCTGTTGGGGGGAATGTTGCTGGTTTCAAGCTAAAGCCCTTCATGATCTATCAATCAGAGAACCCCAGGGCTTTTAAACATGTCAGCAAGTACACACTGCCAGTGTTTTATCGCAGTAACAAGAAAGCCTGGATGACCCTAGTACTGTTTGAGGATTGGTTCATGACTTGTTTCATTCCACGAGCCAAGGCGTATTGTCTGCAACAAAGGATTCCATTCAAGATTTTACTGATTTTGGATAATGCTCCGGGACACCCACCACACCTGGACGACATGCACCCTGATGTTAAGGTAGTGTACATTCCACCTAACACTACCTCTGTCATCCAACCCATGGATCAAGGTGCTATTGCTGCCTTTAAAGCGTATTATTTACGCACTACCTTCGCTCAGGCTGTTGCTGCTACTGAAGGTGAGAAAACGCTCAGACAGTTTTGGAAGGAGTACAACATTTTGTCATGTATAAAGAACATTAGTACAGCATGGGATCAGGTTACAAAACATGGCATGAATGGAATATGGAAGAAAATCCTGAAAAGATATGTGCACACTTTCAGAGGATTTAATGAAAATGAAGTTATTTTGGATATTAGTAACAAGATAGTGGAGTTAGGTAAACAGCTGGAGTTAGAAATTGATACTGAAGATGTTGGACAGTTGGTTGAAAGTGTAGCAGAAGAGCTCAGTAACGAGGATCTTATTGAACTAGATGCACAGAAAATTGCAGAGGAAGAAGAGAGACAAAATGTAGAAGAAGAGCCTGCACCCCCCAAAAAGTTTTCAGTGAAACATATGGCAGAGGCATTTGCTACAATTAATAAAGCAATGCAAATGTTTGATGGCATGGATCAAAATTATGCGCGTTATGCCAAAGTTGACAGAATGATCCAAGATTCACTTGCTTGCTACAGAGAAATTTATAATGAAAAGAAAAACCAAACTGTGCAGTCTAAATTGGACATCTATTTCAAGAAGTCCCCCAGTGCTGTCGCCTCACGCCCCACCAGTGCTGTCTCTTCACTCCCTCAAGATGATCCAATACCTTCAACCAGCAAGTTACCCCTGTACATAAACCTGTCCGAAGAAAGCGACATTGATGACCCACCCAGCCCTGTCTCCTCTTCTGCTTCTTCCAATTAATATAGTCTCCATGTATCCTGTAAATAGAAAATTATGGGGGCTCTGTGTGCATTCAGCTGACTACATTTAAGGTAAGTGCTCAGTCACATTGTATCCATTCCTCATTATTTATTACTTTTACTGTACTGTATCCATTCCTCATTATTTTTTACGTTTAGTGTACTGTATTTCATTGTAGATTTTTTAATTTTTTTTGAAAAAGAAACAATTTTTTAATTTTTAAATTTTTTTTTTTTTTTTTTATCTATGTCGGACTTACGACCTGGATTTGGGTCCCTAACCCCGTCGTAAGTCGGGGTCTATCTGTATATATACATATATATAGTCAACCCCCACTTTACGCGGTCCCACATTCCGCGTTTCCACATTTACGCGGTGCCCTGCCAGAACCCAGGATGCTCACATTCCGTGGTGGGTGTACCCCTTTACGCGGGTGAAGTATAATTTTTTTATTTAGCTCATAAAATTCATACAAATTACCCGGCCAGAATATAATTTACATTGCTGGAATTCTTACAATTTGATGATCATTTTGAATATAAACATCATAGATTTTGCATTAGACATACAAATTTTAGATGTAATGTTTACTCTGAGTAAATATGTTATCTTTTGTGAAAAATATATGACATTTATATTCAAAATATTCCTGGTCTTACAAGGAATCCAGCAATGTCAATTATATTATCCTAACTTTAGTTTGAGGTATTATTTATTACTATACTTGGTTTTCCCCCCAAAATTTCTCAGAGGGAAGAGCCAGCGAGTGTAGTGTGAGATGAGGGGGAGGGAGTCGAGTCCATTATTTGAATGGACATTAATTTGGCGACTGTATTTCTCTATTTCTCTTAAGTATTAATTGTGTGCATGTTCCATCATAAAATTAAGATGTTATTTTTACTAGAACATAGGTATTGTGTTGGAAAAAGTGGAGTTTGGGGGTCAGCTGGTCTCTATTTCATTTAATCCCATATGTTATGTTATTCACTTTACGCGTTTCTCACTTTCCGCGGTACCCTGTGGGTTACATTAACCGCGTAAAGTGAGGGTTGACTGAATAATAGTTTCAGTGATAGTAGTGCTTACTTTTTAAGTTATTAGCATTAATGATACTGAACTTTATTATGGTTTGTGTAACCAGCACTAAATTTAGGAATTAGCAGGCATAGCATTGGGTATCAAGTGGTTTATGGTTACGGTCAAATAATTAGAGTGAATGACTGAAAAAATGGAGAGAGTCTATTTACTTTTCATTCTTACCCTGTGGATTTCTGTATAGTGGAAAACTTACAAGATTGAAAAAAAGGAAAATCAGTAGGCTACCTGTCTACTGTGTATGGAAATAATAATCATTGTCATGAGCAACACCATTGTCACTACTGTATTCAATTGCAGTTTAAAAATCTTTATTATGGAAGTTAATATTTGTTCATTTTATTATTTTGTACAGGAAGGTATATCTGACTTATTTTTTTCAGGATATCATCAAGTCTTTCTTCCCAAATGGATTATCAAAGGAGTTTAGAAACCTACATCATATACGTGAATTGGAAAAGTCTTTGCTTAACAAATGTGAGAATTCTGATTTCAATGCAATTTGTACCATATTGGAAGTTATTGCACACAGTTATACAGTTGCTATTGCTGAGAACAAGCTGTTGATAAGCATGGCTAACAGTACTACCATGCCTGGTGAAGGAAGTAAAAAAACTTTGGAGAAAATTTCAGAAGAAATCGTTGCAGAGATATGGCCCACTGTGGACACTGCTTCCTTGGATACTGTTCGCCAAGGAAATGAACCTGTAAAAGATGGAGGTAATGTAAAAGCTCTCTGGTACTTTTATTTTAAGATAGTGTTTTTAAAGGTACAGTAAGTTCTCGCTTAATGTTGGGGTTACGTTCCTGAAAACGCGATGTTATACGAAACAACGTTAAGCTGATCAATTTTCCCCATAAGAAATAGATAAAATACAGGATTTACCTTTCCCAGCTTCCCTTTGCTCCATGAAAAACATTACATATACAGAAAATCATTGCCATTTCTTTAGAAAATAGTGCATACATATACAACTGCTAAGTTTGTATTGGTACTCACCGATGGGTGGAGGTGGTAGAGCGAGTGTGTGGTGGGTAGTTGAGCGAAGGAGGAGGATGGCGGGAGGGGAGGAGTATGGCAGGAGCGGAGGAGAAGGGTGGGAGCGGAGGAGGGCTGCTGAGGAGGAGGGTGGTGAGTCACTGAGACTCTGTGGCTGCCTCCTCCTCCTGTTCTGACTGGGGTTCCTCCGCTGCTGTTTGCTCCTTCTATAAAAAAAATATTAAAATCCATAATACAAGGCAGAATTTACACAACAGAACATTTGGAACTCACCAACAGCGGACATGCTTGGTTACAGTCTCCGCCAATGAGAGCAATGTACCCGTGTATCCTCACAGCCAATTAGCGCTCGCATCCTTGTGTAAAAAAATTTCCTGGTAGCATTCACCTTACTTGACATGCTTGCATATTATAGTGAATGTTTGTGACCCAAGTTATTTTTTACTAGAAAATAAAAATCAATTGTGAAAATCCATAATTTTTAAAAGTCAGCTGTTCACTTGTGCCTGGCAGTACAGCAGTCATTATTGTGCATCATTTTCCCTCACCACTGACAACCAACCGGTACCATGTGAGTTACTAACATGTAGAGTGACTTTGTTTTGTCTGTTAGCCTGTGGGCCGCCACTCCATCGCCCCAGTTTGAAAGCATTCTCATCCTGTAACACCAGTTGGTAATTGTGAGTGTTGATGGTGACCAACACTCATCACCACCAATACTCACCACCACCAACAACACACACCACCACCAACACTCACCACCAACACTCACCACCAACACTCACCACCACCCCTGCCAACACTCACTACCACCACTACCATTCACCATTATCACCAACAATCACTGTACAGGTGCTCCCCGAATTACAACGGAGTTAGGGACCCAAATCCAGGTTGTAAGTCCGATTGGTCGTAAGTCCGACATAGAAAAAAAAAAAAAAAAATCTACAATGAAATACAGTACAGTAAAAGTAATAAATAATGAGGAATGGATACAGTACAGTAAAAGTAATAAATAATGAGAAATGGATACAGTGTGACTGAGCACTTACCTTTTATGTAGTCAGCTGAATGCACACGGGGCCCCCATAATTTTCTAATTATACATGGAGACTACATTAACTGGAAGAAGCAGAGGAGGAGACTGGGCTGGGTGGGTCATAAATGTCGCTTTCTTCAGACAGGTTTATGGACTGTGGAAACTTGCTGGTTGAAGGTATTGGATCAGCTTGAGGGAGTGAAGAGACAGCACTGGTGGGGCGTGAGGAGACAGCACTGGGGGACTTCTTAAAATAGATGTCCAATTTAGACTGCACAGATTGTTTTTTCTTTTCATTATAAATTTCTCTGTAGCAAGCAAGTGCATTTTGGATCATTCTGTCAACTTTGGCATAACGCTCATAATTTTGATCCATGCCATCAAACATTTTCATTCCTTTATTAATTGTAGCAAATGCCTTTGCCATTTGTTTCACTGTAAACTTTTTGGGGGGTGCAGGTTCTTCTACATTTTGTCTCTCTTCCTCTGCAATTTTCTGTGCATCTAGTTCAATAAGATCCTCGTTACTGAGCTCTTCTGCTACACTTTCAACCAACTGTTCAACATCTTCATTATCAATTTCTAACTGAAACTGTTTACCTAACTCCACTATCTTGTTACTAATATCCGAAATAACTTCAGTTTCATTAAATCCTCTAAAACTGTTCACATATCTTTTCAGGACTTTCTTCCATATTCCATTCATGCACTGTTTTGTAACCTGATCCCATGCTGCACCAATGTTCTTTATACATGACAAAACGTTGTACTCCTTCCAAAACTCTCTGAGCATTTTCTCACCTTCAGTAGCAGCAACAGCCTGAGCGAAGGTCGTGCGTAAATAATACGCTTTAAAGGCAGCAATAGCACCTTGATCCATGGGTTGGATGACAGAGGTAGTGTTAGGTGGAATGTACACTACCTTAACATCAGGGTGCATGTCGTCCAGGTGTGGTGGGTGTCCCGGAGCATTATCCAAAATCAGCAAAATCTTCAATGGAATCCGTTGTTGCAGACAATACTCCTTGGCTCGTGGAGTGAAACAAGTCATGAATCAATCCTCAAACAGTGCTAAGGTCATCCAGGCTTTCTTATTACTGCGATAAAACACTGGCAGTGTGTGCTTGCTGACATGTTTAAAAGCCCTGGGGTTCTCTGAATCATAGATCATGAAGGGCTTTAGCTTGAAACCAGCAACATTCCCCCCCAACAGAAGTGTAATTCTGTCCTTGAATGCCTTGAATCCGGGCATTGTTTTCGCCTCTTTGTGGATGTATGTCCGCTCAGGCATGCGCTTCCACAATAATCCAGTCTCATCCACATTGAATATTTGCTCAGGCAAATAATTCCCTTCCACAATCACTTCATCTAACTCCTGCTTAAAAGCTTCGGCAGCACCAACATCGGCACTAGCTGCCTCTCCACTCACCTTAACATTGTGTAGACTGTAGTGTTTTTTATCTATTAAACCACCCATGACTTGCTCTAAAGGTTTGATCACATTCATCTCCTGCCTGCTCCTTCAGGCTTTGGAACAGGCTTCTTGCTTTAGCCTGTATGGTTAGAAGGCTTAAGGGTACACGCTTCTGTATCTGGTCTTCTATCCATATCACCAATAATTTTTCCATATCGTGAATAGGACCTTTTCTTTTCTTCGAAATTATAGTTCCCTTTATAGGTGTTGTTCCTTTCACTACATCACGAATACGTTCCTTGTCCTTCAGAATAGTGGATATGGTCGAGTGCGAGAAACCTAGGTCGCGTGAGATTGTTGCTACTGTTTTACCATTCTCATGCTGCATTATTATCTTCATTTTCATCTCAAAAGTAATTGCCTGTCTCCTTTTCTTTGGAGCACCACCAGCACTCTCACTTGTACGCTTTCCAGTCATTATAAAGTCAATTAATACGATAATAACGAAAGTTCACAGCGCGATTCAGTATAGGATACGATACCAAACACCAACTGAGTGAGGGTAACCACGCGGTGACCCGAAGCCACGCCACGCTCTCGCCCGGGACAGTAACGGTTCGGTATAGATAATGCGCGCGTCATTTGAAAATATTTTTGGTCATGACTGCCGCGGTTGTATGTCCCGACGGTCGTAAGGTCAGAGCAGGTCGTAAGTACCGATGGACGTAAGTTGAGGCAGTCGTAAGTCGGGGACTACCTGTAATTACTACTAACACTTGCCATCACCAATTGGTGTTTATAGAATGAGAACATGTTCAAAGTAGGGCGATGGAGTGGCAGCCTGCAGACTAGCAGAATAAGCAAAGTCACCTTAGTGGCTCTACATGTTAGTAGCACATACTGTACAGGTTGGTTGTAAGTGGTAGGGGTGAGTGTTGGTGGTGATGGTTGGTGGTGGTGGTGGTGATCGTGTGTGTTGGTGGTTATGGTGAGTGTTGGTCGATTGATTGATTGTGGTAATTACATCCCTGGCTGCTGAGTTAAAATAAAAGCTTAGAAGAGTAAGATCAAATAATGCAAGGTAAAAAAACATGAATACTAAATACCATAAAACTTTTGTGAAAACCATTGAACATTAAAAGATAAAACACACAGCTTGTGTACGAGGCCGTCTTTCTCCACAAAGAAGAGGACGTCCCCTCCAACACTACCCACTCCCTCTCCCAGCACCAAGAGATTGGTTGTGGTAATTACATCTCTAGTGATGCAACAGCTTAGGTCATATGTCACTGAATTAAAATAAAGGCTCAAAAGACTAATATCAAATAATGCAAGGTAAAAAATAAATAAATACAGTAAGTAATAAATAACAGACCTGACACTGGGAGAAGTGCTTACAACAGAGATGTCTGAGACTAGAGCACTCCACCAGGAGGTGTCAACAAGTCAGTGGGACCAAGCAGTTGTCACAATAGGAAGAGGGTGCCCTCTCCATTAAAAAAAAAAAACATGAGTCAGCCATGTGTGGCCAATACAGAGGCAGGCCAAAGCAGTCTCCCAGTGGCACAACAGTCCTGATATCCCCAGGCACCCAATGCAGGGTGGATGTCGTGGAGCTTGTTTGCTCCAACAGCATCCCACCTGCATTGCCAACTAGGGTAGATGGCAGCTCTTATTACTGGCTTCATATCAGAGGCAGGTAGATGGTAATGATATATCACAGGGAGAGAAGCAGCTGCTTTTGCCACAGCATCGGCATGCTCATTACCCTTCTTACCCACATGGGCCATAACTCAGAAAAAACTGACTTTCTTGGCCTGATGTTCGATGAGAAACAGTCACTTGTAAAATATCTTTAACTAAGGGATGGGTCCATGAGACACTAGCTAAGGCCTGGAGAACACTACACGAATTGCTAAAAAATGTAAAATCATTATGAGGTAGGGTAAAAATAATTATGAGGGCAAGTAAAATACCTGAAAGCTCTGCAATAAAAATAGATTCCATAATGGGGAGACTACTGTCCCGACAGAAGTCGGGAAAGACTACCCCAAAACCTACCCCTGCATCCATCTTAGAGCCATGGGTGTATACAGGAGTAGTTCCTCTGTGAGAGAAGGCTTGCTCTAAAAAAAGAGAATGAACCAAACTGGGAAGGAGTAAGTCCTTCCTTTCATTAAAATACTGTACTGATAAACATGAACCGGAGGAAGACAAAGAAGACTCACAATCTTCCTTACCTTGAAGCTGAAAGGTTGTGGGAGGCT